ATGGTCCTCGATTGCTATTCCGCGGTCGCTCCAGCTGGAGCATGTTGATTAGCCGCCATATCAGCTTTACTTCCTTCCTCTTCGGAATCAAAATCTTCCTCAACTAGGACTTCTTCTTCGGGACCAACTTGTGGTCACTACAGGAAAATTGATCTTCGGTCACGGGTTTTTTATTATGGGAAATTTCCCATGATCAAAGGTTTAACTACCATCACGGGTAATAATTCCCATGATAAATTGGGCTGGAGAGCTTTGATTAGCCCATGATGGTAAGTTCCAAGATTCCCGTGACAGATGAAACAAATTCTTGGCGGTAAACTAAAACCATCTTGGCTTCAATCCTTTTCGTTTTGCCTCCAAAACTAACATTTCCCAAGGAAGTAAAAATGAATAAATAAAAAAATAAAATTAACAGAAGACTTAGATTTTTTGTGATTCCCCAAAACCCTATCTCAACTAATACGATTTGCTTCCTTCTTGTTGTACCTTCCCAAAATCCCTGGTTGTAGAAAAACGAATTCGCTCACTCCCCGCTAGGCTTCTTCTTCCCAAAATTGCTGGCGATCAAGAATACCATCTCATTGCTCGCCTTCCTTCTTGTTCGCCTATAAAATGGAGCATCCCTCTTGTCGTCTTCTGGGACTGGTGAAGCAAATCGATCGAGATGACAAAGGTTAGAAAGGGATCCAGTGGTAATAGGAGGAGAAGGATTGCGGTGGGATTGGGACAGTGAAAGTAGATCAAGCTAAAATCAGAAAGTATATGTTCATCACTACACGTTGCTCTTGAGGTACGCCTACCATTTTCTCTGTTCAGGCTTTGTTTCTTCATTTATAGAGACTCGCTCTAACCATGAATGGGTTCTGCTCGTAGCTGACTCTTCCTTCATTTCAATTAGTTCTATCCGCTGATTTGGGTTTCATTTTGAGTCGACTGAAAAAATCCATCTCCTCGCCATCGCCTTCATCCTTCTATTTGGTTTTGCTTCGCTCATTATAGTCCAGTTCCTAGCCATTGCTACCAAAATTCTCGTCCTCACACCTAAGGTATGTTTCTTGACCTGACTTTTATCAAAATATAACATGGTTGAAGCTCTTAGTGTATTTTGCTACTAATAATATGTTACTATGTAGATTTTTTGGGTGTTAGGGATTGGTATCTAGCAGCAGAATAGGAACTCCTGGCTAGGGTCACGATGACAAATGAGGGTTCAACAACTTAATTCAAGGTACATACTCATTTTCACTTCTCTACTGGGGAAGCCTTTGCCTTTTCAGATTGGATTCCCATTGCTTTTGCAGCTTGCAGCAACATTGATAGGTTCAATTGGTATTGTCTCTTTTATAAAGTTTGATTATAATTATATACTAGTCATTGATAGCTTCTCCCCTAGAGATTGTACTTGTGCGTATTGACTGAGATTTGGAAATTCTTTCAGCATCATTGAGTTATGCAGTTAGATGTTTCTATTACTATAAAGAATACTCTAAACACCATAAGTTAGAGTACTCCTCCCCTGGTTTCCTAAATTGCTGTTTACTTCCTTCTTAGTCCATACACATACTCAAACTCCTACAACCTACCTCTTTTACTTTTAGTTCTAGTTTTGTTTTTAATTTATACGCTTAACCCAGATCTATTATTTCCGGTACGCGTGAGCGGGAACCAAGTTGCAGTAGGGTGCTTAGCGTTGGTACGAGTAGGTGCTTCTTGTATGTCATTGTATAAGAATCCTAAAACCAAATTCAGTTTCTGATATTGCTTGTATCGTGTTCACTATGATTGAGCTACTGTTTTCGTTATTATTTGGAGACAGATGTTGCTTATGAAAGCAGCTTTAGACACTAGATTCCTGGCTTTTGAATACAATTGTTCGACTGTTTCTCTAATTGAGATAGGAAGCTTCTTACCGTTGGTAGAAGTAGTTGATTAGCTTCTTTTCTGTCAAATAAATGAAGTCTAGAACCAAATAGATAAATTGTAATTGCTGCTGAATTCTATTTGTGCTACTGCTTGTATGGTTTTCGCTACGATTAAGCTGCTGTTTTTGTTGTTGCATAGAGAGATTATGCTTATGAAAGTAGCTATAGAACACTTTGAGATGTGGCATTTTTACTATAATTGTTAGGTTGGTTCTCTCATTAAGATAGTGGACTTCATAGCTTTGGTAGAAGTAGTTTATTTAGAACTCTTTAACTAACTGTTGGTGTTTATTAAAGCATATTTACAACTCTCTTTAACTTTGGTAGTGTGGGATAACTATGCAGATTCCTAATTCAATTATAGAACATTACTCAGTCCTTTATGTATAATTATAAGTATGAATGTGATATTGGTAATGTTACTTTGATACATTTGTAGTATTGTTTAAGAATCTAAATTCTGTAATCTTTGTTTCGTAATCCTGAAGTACAGTACAAGGAGTGTGGACGAAAGAAGGGTGAAGCACAAGAAGAGTAGTTCAACCTTTCACGTTGTCAAGTGCAATGGTAATTTTGTTTTTGAATCAAGATAAAAACTACTAGTGCTTATTTTGTTGAAGCATGGGTATTTTGTGATGTGATTATTTAGATAGGTTTTATGTGCCTAAAATTCTTCTAGAGTAGATTTCTTAATTGTAAATTGACCGGTGAACAATATATGTTGATAAGACTTCTTCATTGTTTCAAGTGAAATTTCATCTCGTAACTATTACCACACTTTCAGGTTATATTTAGCTAATATCAATCTCCATATTGCATATGACTAGTAGCAACCTTCTGTCACAGGCTATTACTGTGACTAGTGAACTAATATCATGGGATTCCCCATGACCGTTGAGACAAAACCCGTTGCATCATGTTGCACACCGTGCCCATATACCCATTGATATTGGACAAAATCCCGTGACGAAAACCTAGATTAGTCACTAGATATCCTGTGACTATATGCTGCATTTGTCATGGTAAGCTTCCCATGCTTAATACTTAGTCACGGGAAAACCTGTGACCGAATAGACCATTTGTCACCGCTAGCTCCCTCTCACGAGCCAAGAGTCGGAGAGTGCGGTTGAAATTCTCGTCCAGTGGCGCCAAAGGTGTTGGATTACTCCAGGTCATACACCTCCCTACACACACTCAAAAGAACCACAACTCGTCTAACACAAGCAAGATTCACAAACAAAAAAACGAAGAGTAAAAGCTAGATTAACACCAAGCAATTTTTTCAAAATAACGAACAGTTTGATCACCGACAACGGTGCAAAAAACTTGACTTGTTTCGAATATCACAATAAAACTCCCAATTAACGCCCAAGTATAAACCTTAATTTGGTGCAATATAGGGCAAGTTTGTTTAAATATCAACCCGGGTCTATCCATGTACCCATAGTTCGATTGTTTGAAACATTATCTAGCGATTGGTTGTTTGATTGAAAACTACGTTCTACTATTAAAGCATTTGTAAAAGCAATTGGTTTTGACTCTTAAATGAGAAGGATTCACCCGGGTGTAGCTCCCCCTAACTCGCTATCATGACTTGTCGAAAATACTGAAAATGTATGGAGGAGGTGATTGAGAAATGTAAGTGAAGTGTAGCTGGTAGGCCAAGGAATTTGGATTAAGCTACCAAGGTAGCTCTCTTTGCCTAGACGACTAAGGACTACCAAACCTTCACTCTCGAATCGAAATTCAGAAGGCCAAAACACAATCAACCTAGGTGACAACACAAACAAACACGGAGGGATGCCCTACATTAACCTAGGAAAGAGACATGATTTGCCTAAGAAAACCCTGCTTAACAAGCCTCTTTAACAAAAGGGGAGTTTCTCTCTACCTAGGTTAGAATTGCAAATAGATTGATAGGCAAACACACAACACAATCTTCCATGAAAATGCCTCTAAATTCGTATTAAAACACACCGACACATAGACAATCATTCCATACAATCAATCACATGGTACAAGTTAGGGTTCACAAGTACCCAAATGAAAAGGGAAACTAATCCAAGCTAGAAGAGGGAAAAACACAAGGAGAAAGAACAAAAACCATCATGAAGATGCTTGAATCCTTCCTTGTGTAAAAGAGATCTTCCTTTGCGGAAGATTTTCCCGAATCCTTGCCTTGAAATGAAACCCTAGCTTATTCTCTCTTCTTTCTCGTCACTTTCTCTCTCCAGAATGCTGAAGAAGAATGTTTTCTCACTCAAGGTCTGCTCCTCTTTTCCTTCAGCTCAAACCCCTTTTATACCTAGGTCGGGCTCAAATCACGGTCCCAGTTCATGGCCGTGAACTCAAGGCGGGGATCGTGATCTCGGGCGAAAACGCGTCGCATCACTATCTTAGTTCACAGTCTCTAGCTTGGGTTCACGATCTTACGACCGTGAACTGGCTTGAGTCCAGTGAGAACCAAAATGGCTCTGGACGCCTGGCGGTTCACTGTTTGCGGCTCCAGTTCATGGTCTCCCTGATCGTGAACTCACTGCTTCCACCGTGATATGCTATTGCCTCCATCCTTTGACCCGATTTTGCGCCTTTTGCGTCCAACTTTCGACTCCAGGTTTGGTTCCACCTGCTATAGACTGAAATGCACAAAAACGAGACAAAACCAAGTGTAAAACTAAACCTCGCTCGCGGAGTAAAAATGCCTCAAACGACTAAGGAAACCGGGGGTAAAAAGTGTACAATAAGCCCGAATCAGAAGTCTAATTTTTTTTTTGGAAATAAAGGGCGGGAGAAATTTTCTCCGATGGGGTAAAATGGGGGGAAGGCAAATTTTTTGTGAAAAAAACGGGGAAGCTTTTTTAGTTTGGGGTGGTTGGAGCAAAAACTGTAGAGGTATTAATTCGTTAGATTTTCCTCTTAAAACTTAGTGATTTCTTTTTTGTTAAAGGTAATAAATAACACATTATTCACGGTAATTAACTGTGATTAATCATTAGTCACGGGAGATGAAAATGGTGTAATAAATAGATTAATTCCTGTGACTAAAATGATGCAATTAATCACGGTAAATTTTTCTGTGACTATTAGTGCACTCCTTATTACGGGAATCATTCCATGAATAAGTTCCCCTGACTAAAAACCAGTTTTCCTGTAGTGAGAATTTATTTGTTGCAGCACATGTACTCGACGATTGCATCAACCTTGGGAGCAGTCTCGTTTGGGCTTGTACATATTGGTCCATTGAATGTCACAGGCTAACCCTCTACTCCACATACAATTACCAAATACGAGAGCACACCTTTTTCTCTGTTAAAGGGAGCAGGCTAGGTTTTACTAGTATCGTTGATCAAGATTTAGGATTAGACATCCCAAATGGGCTTATCCAATCCAGCTTCTCCTAATGAGAGCTGTTGTTGGTAGTTATTCAGCGTTGGCGCCATCCTTTGCTGCTGCTGCTGCTGTTGTTGACTCAACGCCTCTATCTCTAGTCTTTGTTGTTGCTGCTCCTGCAAGTTGGCAGGTGTAGACCCTCCAACCCCCATAAAATCACGGGTCGTTACGTCACTTGCCAATTCGCTCCCGAATCTAGAACCACCGCCGCTGAGATTATCTTGGTGAAGCCCCAAGCTCTTTGAGAAACCCACGGGAGGCGCAGGGCTGTGGTGATCTCCCGCCATAAAGATGCTGGCAAACATCCCCATGTCATTCATGGAAGAGCCGCCGGTTGCCGCATCGAACAACTGCGACATCTCCTGCGACGTTTTCTGCATGAACGCGGTGGGCGAGCCGCCGCCGCCGCCGCTGAGTCCAGCAATGTTGGTCTGGTGATCGGGTTGCGAGGAGAAGTGATGATCGTAAGGATTGGGGTGACAGAGTTGTTGTTGAGTGCCACTGTAGGATGGCAATATTGGTTGCGAGTGTTGTGGACGAGGAATTGGTGCCATCTGGTCTTGGGCCCCACCAGCAGTGATGCTGCCGGCGAAGCCCTTGTGCATCATTGGGGAGTTATTGCTGGTGGTGGCCCCCATTTGGGCCGCTTTCTGCAGAAGGGCTGTTGCGGACATGTGGGCCGAGCCCGGGATCTGCGGCCCGCCTTTCCCGCTGCCGTCCTGGAGATAACCGAAACCCGAGGAGGAGGAGGCGCCGGCAGCGTTGGAGCTGAGGTGGAGGGTAGCGGATGAGGTGGAGGAGGACATATTGCGGGGCCCACCGAACAGAGTCCCTGAGGTGGTGGAGAACATCCCACCGACGACGTTCATGGGCTTGAAGGGCGTGGGGGTGAGGTCTTGCGGTTGCGGGAGGGACTTTTTGGGCTCGAAATGATTGGTGTAGTCAGCAGCGAAGTTGGATGTGGGCATGAGATCGGGCATCTGCTGGGTATGGGTCATCATCCCTTGCCCTTGGTTTACTTTGTTGTTCTCTTCAGCTAGTGCATCACAGAAGGCTCTGTGAGTGATGAAACTATCTCTCCTGCATGTGATAATTACAACCCAATCGATTATTTAGTGATTACTTCACATATATACAACACGTAGAAATGGTATTATCATTAGTTGTAGTACTTGGTGGGGAAATTATATCCAGTGACACATTTTGATAGTTTCATAGCAGTTTGCTAGCAGTATCGGTTAAATCATGTATATTTATTGATCATCTATTCAGAAGGTAGAAATAACCGTCTTTTTCGTTGTAAAACCCCTAACGCGACGCGGTATACACCACAAATAACAATTGTCCATGGCCATGGAGGAAATCATCGCCAAAACCTTTGGCGAGTAATTCTGGGCCCTTGCAACAGAGATTTACCTCGCAAAATGTGATGTTTGTTGAAATTTATTTTGTTTTAGAGAGGTTGAATATAATCGATGGTATTGTGGATCTTCTAATTCTCACATTACCCACTAGGCTAGGCTAACCAATCATTGGCGTTGTGTTTACAAATATTTATGAATATTAATCGTATCCCTAGAAAGTAAATTATATATTGTTTTGTGAATCGCGGTTATCATGCTAACCATAGACAGGGTAGGATTAATTACCACCATGCTAACCATGAGTCATAGTAGTACAATTTTGCACTTGTAGTAGTTGTTTAATTTTTGGAGTTGGACTAAGACTTCAACTCCAACGCAATCATTGTTGTTTTCCAATTTTAGTTGTTTTCACAGTACTACAACTGTAATGCAAACAACTACAACTCGTAGGTCAAATGTTGCGCGCTAACACTCTAAAGATTTATAGGATGTACCTGGAGAAGATGGTGCCGCAGTCACACTTGTACTCCCTGGTGCCACAGGTCTTGTGATGGGCCTTCCAGTCGGACTGGACAGCGTACTTCTTAGAGCACTTGTCACATTTCCATTTCTTCTCCCCATGCTTGCGGCTGAAGTGCTTCTTGATCCCGGTCAGATCCCCGAGCGCTCTGGCCGGGTTGTGGTGGACGCAGCTGGATTCGGGGCAGATGTAGACCCGCTTCCTCACCTCGGTTGTGCTCCTCTGCTTCAGCTTCCACGGCAGGTTATGCCCTCTCCTGTGCAGCTGCAGGTTCTGGTCTCTTTGGAACCCTTTGTTACATATCTCGCACACAAATCGGTTCGTTGCCATAAGCGTCGTCGGCGACAACGCCACCACCTCCGCGCTAGGATCTGCACATCAGAATCAGATAATTAATATATAAAACCGTCAAATTAAATATGTATGTAAATATGTATGTATGAGGCTTGCCTGGAGTGCCTGGCAGATTGCGCTTCTTCTTAGCCGGCGGCTGCCCAGAAGTAGCATTATTGGTATTATTGGAAGCTTGGAAGTGATCTCCGGTGTTTCCAGAGGAGAAGCTGCCTTCTTCACCTGACAAGTTGGACATGTCTGTCTTCCTTGTTGTTGCCGGGAAACAGAAAAAGGTGGGAATTGTTTGTTTCTATCGTTCAAGAAAAAGAAAGAAAGAAAGAAAGAAAGAAAGGATAGATGAAGGAAGACAAAACAAAAACCCAGAGAATTAATGATGAGGAGGATGAGCCTAGCTAGCTAGCTGTTCCTACTTTCCTTTCTCTGGGTTTTCTTTGGCTTAGTTGGAGGAGGGAGAGAGGGCAGGAATTAGCCAGTTTGGACCCTGCTCTTCTTTGGCTTCACATACCTGTATTATATATACCACTCACGACAAACAACCCCTTGTCAAAATCACCCTTTGTTTTCTTCCCTATCCATGTCATTGTCATTTCAACGTCTCTCCTCTCCTCCCCTCTCCAGTTATTGTTTATTTGTTTTCCATTTAATCACTTGAAATAATTGGAAATTAACTATTTAATTATCTTCAAAATAAAATATGGGTCTTCTAATGTGTACAGACAACTCTATTGACCTCTCCCACAGCCACCATCCTCACCTAAAATATCTTCTTGCGTTTGCATAAAACCCTAGCTAACCAAGTTCCGCATCAGATTAACAGGTAGAATAGTAGATATTCTCAGGAACTACTAATTTGTTTCTCTCTTTTTAGTGTATTTTAGAAGCATATGTGGTAACTAATCATAGTCGTTGATAATCCTTTAGGACTAGCACCATAATCACACATCTTGTAATCTTAATCATTGCTCCTGACGTCATGTCTTTTACCATTGCTATTTTAGAGTGTGGCATACAGCCTTCAATGAAAATATATAACCGCAAAGAAGATCCGTAACTGCCTTAGCAACTCAAATACAGAAGAAATGACTCCACTTCTATTTCTATATATAGCACAACTGCACAACTACTCCTTGTTTTGCCTCACGAGTTCAATTATTTGCACTCAAATAGTCTTCTTTAATTTCGCATTTTTGTTTTTTAGGGATTATGATTTTCCCATCCATTTCATGAAAACAAAAGGAGAAAAAGTCATCTGTTGTAATTGATAATAAAACTAACTGGTTTTCAACAAATTCTTGAAGTTTATGGCCTTAAAATATGGAGATGGTAAGTGTTCCACATAACTTTGTTTTTATTTATGGAAAACATTTTCAAGTTACACATATACTGCGGAGGGTAGGCTGCATACTTATTCGTTATGTATTTGTGCATAACAAAATCCGTCCCTTTGATTTTGAGTAGGGGCAAATCATTGAAAGACATTTTATTTTCATAATTTTTTAATCTATTTTATCTTCTTTGTTATACCCAAATTTTGAAAATGCTTCCATGGATGGAATGGAAGCCGTTTACTGTGATTTACAAAAATGATATTTATTTTTTTATTTATTTCGATGAAAAGAATATGTACCACCCATTATAATCCAGATACGATATACATGGAAACACTTTCATTTTTCAACTCACATTTTGAAATTTTGTGCATAGAATGAACAGATTCATCGTGATATATTGTGATCTACAAAATTTATGGGGAAAAAATTTAAAAGAACAATGTACTACATTTTACCACTTTGGTGTAGAATGGTAAATGATGGTAGATGGTGGTGAAAGGTGGTAGGAGGTGGTTAGTATATTCCTATCATCATTCTATGATATGGTATATTTATATGTACCGTCACTACACTTACATACCACCATAATATAACTTTATATACTACTAAAATTGACCATCATAGTATTCATAATAATATATGCTTCAAATTTTTTTGTTTCAAAATAATGTGCTAGTTAGACCCTACTGTAGCTTTTGTAGAAGCAACTTCTGGTTGGAGCTTTTGGAGAAGTACTTTTCAAAAAATGTAGTTTAGTGTTTGGGTGAAAAACTATTAGAAGTGCTTTTAATATAAGAGGTTAGGTAAAATGACTGTAAACGACTTCTAATATAAAACACAAATAAAAATTTAAACAATCATCTTGGCTATTTTCTTTTATATTAAATAATATGATTTTATAATTTATGCTATTTTTTAAATGATGTTAATGAGAGAAAATTATTTTTCTAAAATAAAATTAAAATATGGTAGGATAATTTTATATTTACAAAATAGCTTTTCGCAGAAACTCCAAATCGGATCTTGTGCTTTTATGTTATATAAATCACTTTTCAGCTTTTCAAAAGCTGAGATTTTTTAGAAATATTTGACTTTGCTTTACCTTTTCAAATCGAAAAGAACTTCTAAAACTCGAGTCGAACATAGGGAATATATAAGTTAAGTGGATGTCATTTTAAAGAGTACAATCAATTTATTTTTTCGAAAAAAAAATTTAATTTCAAATTAAAACAAATATTGCGATGAAATTTATCAAGGAAAATGTTGTACATTATTCGTAACCAGATCCATACCCTTACAGACTACAGCCATTGGGTTGTGTTAAACAAGAAATAAAAATGCAGATTAAAAATTAAAAATTACAATTACAATTAAAATTAAAAATATATAATAGAAAATCAATTGATGAACTTTGATTATAGAAATAAGGAAGGCCAGTTTGTCGTTATATTAGAGGGGATGCAGGTGCCGGAATTTGTTTGGCAGAATTGATAAAACCGGAGGAAGAGACCAAAAGAAGTCAGCTGTCAGCATCTCTAGTTTTGTGAAATTAATTAATATTCGGAATTTTGGGAAATATAAGTGGTAAAGGAATTATTTAAATATAATGCCATAAATAAAACAGATATTGCTGCTTTGTTTTATATTTCCATTTTTCATTAATATATTTAACGACGATAGATAGCTATGTCTTCTATCTTCCAAAGGAGAACAAGATATATAGATTTTTTTTTTTTTTTTTTACAACAAACAAGATATATAGATAGCTATAAGCCTATAAGTGCTCTATTCTTTTTCGTGTCTTCAAGAATCTCAGACACTCTTCCTCTTTCCCCAGTTTTATTTTTGTTTTGGTTTTCCATTTGCTTTTCTTCCTATGGAATTTCATTGTAAAATTTCATATGCATTATGTGTACGACTATTTGATAATTTTGTGACATTCAAGTATAGTTTTATGACACTAGAAAGTTAAAATTTATATAGCGGAGCCCATTCTAGTGGTAACTTATTAAAGACCAAATTATGGAAGACTATAACTCATTCTAAACTACACATAACTCTACCACAAAATCATTTTGTAGTAGCAGCTATTATTGTTTTTTCGGTAATTAACTTTCACTAAGCTCTTCCATCCAACCAGATTAGGCATTTCAAAATCTAAGACTGATCGTCCAGTGTTTTGACAATACAATCAAAATCACTCAAACTAACCAACTGAACGATGGCAAGCTCGACATTCAGTTCTAAAATTTAAATTACCCATTACAAACAATAGAAATTCATCTTTAAACTTCACAACAAGCATCATAACACAAACATCATCTGTGAGCTTATCCCGAGTGATTATTTTGTTTAAGATAATCAACCATGAGATTAATCTGTACTTGGTTACAACAAATTTACCCCAAATCACATGCCATCAACTAACTCTAGATCTTTTCTCACGAATAAAGTTCCAAACGAGTTGAACTGAGAATTTCTGCATTAGTTTCCCTTTCAATGTTACACAGCCCTGGTTATTAACTTCCATTCGGTGCCGAAGCCAACCATGAATTTTCACCAAACTTCTCGAGATCAACGATACCACTACCGTGCAGGACACAATCCATATGAAACGCTCCTTCAATCAATATTTATTGATCCATACCACCCAAAAACTCCCACTTTCATCAGTATAATTCATAATAGTCTAGCAACACTCGCGATACTCCAGGAGCCAAGTTCTTTTAGGCCTAGACCCCCTTTTTAATCAATGCACGAACTTACATCACCTGATACACCACATGTTTGTAACTTGAGACTCCACCTCATTGACAAGAAGCTCAACTTCAATGAGGTTTTGTGTTCCGATTACTCTCCCCTCCTGTAATACACCGCCTGCCCTGTCCACCATCATTCACATGCAATTCGGTAACTTCATTCTACCCTTACTATCTTTCCTCCATTGAGGATAATGTCGTGCTTAAGTGTAGGGGGGTGTACCATTTTGTATGTGTGTGATGAATGATGTGCTTTGCTTGTCTTGGAGCCTAGTTCACGTTCCAAATCTTGAGATATGTGGGCTCTAAGTACAGATATTTGCATTATCATATTGGTACTTTGGTTTTGTATGGGCTAATAGCATTGATATATGAATGACTTGTTTGTAATTGAGACAACCTATAATGATGACTGGTACATGTTGTGGAGTTATGTAGGGATTCAGTTTCAACTGTTTGATTACTAATTGTGACTTGATTTGATCACTTATTTCTTACATTCGTATATGCATAGAGGTTAAGTGATTAGAATGAGAGATAGAGCATATAAGCAGCCATGTGAGATTTGATCCTACTCGTTTCCTTCTTGTCCGATAGATCCCTCTTACCATAATGTGTAGCATTGACGTTGCCACTAATTAGGAAAATGAAGGCATAGGATTAGCCCATAGCCAAATTTATTGTCCTGGTGTGTCAAACCCCTTAGTCAGCCCCTTTGATCCATGTAGCCTTCTTTCGTTATGTCTGCACTGAAAAATCACCCTTATGCATCTCTAAGAGGTTCCACATAGTGGTTTTTGCATGTTTTCTGCTAGAAACAAAAGTGAGTATTTGAGGTAGTTCTTAAAATTTGGGCATGTGCTTAAAAAGATGAAGAATGTGGCAAAATTTTGTGGTTCTCGGAAAGAAAAGAAGGAGATAAATGAAAAAAGAGGAGAAGATAACTGCCTGAAAGATTTAATTGTGCTCATTTAAGTGAGTGTTTCTATATGGGCTGGCTTGGAGACACTATTCCATTATTACCTTTTTCACTCATGTGCCTTAAACAAAGAGATCAAAGCAGAATAACAGAGAAAGAAATTAGTTTGATTGAATGTTACTGTGTTGGGTTTGAAACTGTGGAACCTTGTGTCATGAATATTAGC